CTGCGGAGTGGTTTGCAGAGCAAAATGGACACGTGAACCGGTCCTGCGGGTTACGACAATTATCTTGAGAATGATTATTGTCCTGATTGCGTTGGGAATCATGGTCGCGGCTAGGTGGCCTGCAATTGTCAGACCACCTCTGTGGAGACCAACTGTGCTGCCAATCTGAGGAGCGTCCGTGCTGCCGCCACTTTTGTGGGGGCTGCAGGAGCGCAATTGCCCTTGTCAAAATGGCCGTCGCTGGTTACCATTATTTTGATTCTGCAGCTGCTGCTGATTTCCATTTGAGGTAGATGGCGCCGCATTGGCAAGATTAGCGTTTTCTGTGAAAGCGGGCGCTGCAGCTGCTGCAGCAGATGGGGCCCCTGCAGGGGCCGCGGTGGAGGCTGAAGAAGCAGCCGCGCCGTCCGCTGAGGCAGCTGCGCCCTGAAATGCCAGGACTGGTGGTGCTTCCGCCATGCAGAGCTTGTGTGCAAAGTATGCCTGAATGCATTGATACTGTTGGTGCGGGCAAGTTGCCCAGATAGAGTTGAGTTTGGGCATTTGCGTGTGGCAATCTGTGTAGGCCTGGAGTACTTCCAGGTAGTTGCCACGTTCAAGGTGCGCGCATAGGACAGGATTCTTGCAAAGATGCACAAAATGCATGTCCATCTGGATTGTGCTGAGCTTTTCCGTGATCTGGATGACAGGGTGGAAGTAGTTGTAGAACTCCTGCAGAGTATTGGGCACAGGAAGACAATCAAATTTGTGGTAAAGTTTGAGGTGGACTGCATCCATCTGCCCATACTCCGCAAAGAGCACCTGGAGAACACTCAGGTAATCCATGTTAATATTCTGGTATGCAAATGCGCCAATATTTTCCTTGGCCTTGCTGTCCAGGTGAAGCAACAGCATGCAAATGCGTTTGGTATCTGTGAGTTGCGCGGTCAGGATGATATGGACCTGCAAAAAATTGCGCCAGAGGCGCTCAAACAGGTAGTTGGAATCTGCTTGGCCAGTAAACTTATTAAAAGATGCGTCACAAGCTTGCTTCTCGTACAACTTCACAAGGTCAAGGTGGGACAGGTTGGTTTGCTGCCCTGTCCCAAATGTTGTGAAGGTGTGATGATATGCCTTGTAGGGCCGACCCTGCAGCAGCAGGATGGAAGATGGCCCAGACTCCAAGCGGCCGTAGCTGGCTGGAGCTGGTGGATGCAGCAAGGCTGGCGCCATAGGGCACAAGGGAACAAGTTGCCCCATTGCTTGTTGCAATGATGCCAACCCCTCTTGGTGCAATGTACTTGGTAGGTGCAATGGGATAGGGGGGGCGGGAGCCACGCTTGGGGATGATAGGGGTGCAGCAGGTGCCACTGGTTGTGTTGGAGGCACAGGTACAGGAGGAGCCACCGGAAAGGCAAGTCCCAGGACGCGTGGCTGCACTGGGAGGAGATGAGGCCACCCTCCAGTAGTGACATCCATAGATTGCACAAGTAACGTGTTAATCTTGGTTTCCAATTGCGTGAGGGCAGCAATCTCTGCCTGCGTGAAGGTTGCAGGGTTTAGATCAATTAGATGATCCGCCATGCACATCAAAAAATCAGGGAACAATGCTTTCAAAGCGTTGCTGAGGATCTCCGCGTTCTGGAGTCCATAAAATATGATCCATCACACCCACTACATTGGCAAGAGGGAGGACATGTTTCATAATGGCAGGATGGCGTGCTGTGGATGCCAAGGAGTGGCTGCTCAATGCTGCAATGGAACCGGCACCACGAGACGCCGTTTGCTGGGATTGAGGGTCTACCCCTGGGAGGGGCGCACGCTGGGTGCAATGCTAAGATCAGGAATGCAGGCTTTTGCGGCTGCTGGTACTGGACGGGCTCTGGGAAATGCAATGCCTAAGCCCCACTGGTAGGGGTCCACGCCTTTGCAGAGGCTGGCGTGTAGCAGGCATATGGCTCAAGATCGGAGGAGTACCCGGGACTTTGCCTTCCTCACCATTCATTGTGGGTTGCAAAGCGCACGGAGAATTCAAGGTGAGTACTTACAGTTTCTCTCACAGGGTCAGGATTGGGGGGGGGTGTAAAATAAAGGCAGCTAGGCTGCAATTTCACACGCACACAGAGAAATTTGCACCAAGGAAACTATGCCCAAAACTTCCAAAAACTGCCTTGGGCTCAACCGCTCAACGGTAAACCCACTGGCCACCTTGTTGGGCTGAATAACGACAAAGAATTTAGAAAAGGAATGGACACAGTGGTCAGCCTTTAAAGGCCAGAACCTCCTTATTGGAGTCCCTTAATTCAGAACACCTTTACTTCCACCTCAGGGAACCGCAGAAGGACAAGTACAGATTTCAGTGCACACACTTAATAATCAGATCAGATTGGAGCTCTCAAAGAACACAACCGCCAACAGGCAATCCCAACGCAAGAGTGTTGAAGTTGTAGACTTCATTTGGATTTCTCCGCCACCAGAGATGATTATCAGTTACTTACCCGGTTTGCCGAATTGCGGCAAACCGGGTCCCTATCCGCTTCGGGGCCCCTGGGCTTCAAGTTTTTGTGAGGCGTGCCTGAGGGAGGATGCTGCGCTCGGGTCACGCCGCGTGGACGCAACCCCACAACCTGAATGCATGTACTGTATATATAGCCATCTATGCATCATACCATACGTTAGTATGTCAGGTATATATTTTTGGCCCCTGAGAATCAATCCGTCCATATTCGATGTTGTCGTCTGGGTATGAAAGAGGTCGAGAGAACTCTGATTGGGCTTCTTTCCATCACCGACATGAATTCCAAAAAAGAATACTCATGCGTAATTACCATATACAGTACAGTATTATTGATGCTTGCCTTTGAACACTTTCTGCTATATATTTGTTTCATTCTTCCTTTCCTCATTTTCTTCCTTTATTGTTTCATGGACCCTATTACCCGAATATAAGGAAAGGAGTGCTGCTGGATGAGATGCAAAAAGATGCTGAGGAGTGTAAACCAGCAGCGTGCATGCTGATCATATATGCAGATGAAATAATTATTGTTCAAGTTCTTATAAATTGCTGTACATAAGCATGTCCTATACATACGCACGAGTGCACAGAAGAATCCCTCGTGTCGTATATGTTGTATTGTATTTGTGTGTTGATGGAATGCTGTATGTGTCACGTAACAGTGTGCATGCAGGTGGTCCGTGTAGGCTCATTTATATATATATACACATGTACTGTGCTACATATATACAGTGCGAGTAAGTACAGTACATGTACGGTATGTCTACTGTATATAGTACGCAGGACGGAACCGAGCCGTGCTGTACCAGCAAAGCAACCCGAGCCTGCCGAGCAGATTCGTGGCACCCCGGGACTATGTCATGTACACCTTCTACCGGGATGACGCCAGGGCTGGCACCACCTGGATTTTGGCCAGCAACGTGAGCAGTACCAGCACCAGCAGCAGCAGTCGGCGCCTTTACCGGGACCAGCTGCAGCAACTGGACCAGCCCATCAGGCCGGGGGTCGTGCGGTGAGTGGCAATTCCTCGCACTATTATTCGTCCTTCATTCCGTCCTACCATACTGTATATACTGTATATATATATATATATGCAAATCAGTTGCAGTATATACAGTAGCTTAGAGCAGAGTAGAATACACGGCATTGTTGCTGCTTGATGTACGCGTGCTGCAACACATCCATCATGATGTTGTAACACACTGTATTACATGCTAAAGCAGTGCACGTATTACAATATTGTACTCGTATATACGTACCTACCATTCTTATTGATACGCAATCATCAAGTCGACGCAATATGCTCTTCATCATTGCTAAAGATGCTGGAATATAACACGTTCGTCCATTTATATCATCACCAGCATGATGATGCACATGTAGTGTTGTTTATACATACGTAACCATATAGTTACAGTACACAGTATGTGTGACAAAGGGAGGACAATGGACGAGTGAATTCAAGAATAAATTTAAAAATATACGGTGCAGTACATCCATTCCAATGATGAATGCTTCCTGTACGTTGCAGAACCAGTCAGTTTGTCCGACTCTTTCGTCGTCCTCGTATATACAATACTGGAATATATTCTGTATTGTCTGCTCCAATAAATTTACGACGTCGATAATTCACCAAACTCTCAGTCTATATCTCGGGTGCTGCTCACGACGACGACGACGATGATGACGATGACGAGTCTAGAAAAATTGAAGGACTTTTTCCCTGAGGACACGTTTTATCTTCACATCAGTCGCCGGCATATAGGGAATGGCCCTATAAATTAATGTCATCTCCTGATAGGGTCAAGTTCTTGCAGAGAATAGTGCTTCCGCTGCGTATCTACGTTCGATTGTCCTGCTGGGTTTCATCATGATCGTCGTTTAACCCCTATACAAATATAGAAAGGCATACTACATGATATCCTACTTTGTGTATATGCTGATCGACCAGCAGTAGTCTGTCATCGACATGCAGAACAACGGTGGGAGATAAAATAATGGCACGTTGATAAATGCAGCCAAAGTACGTGATGCAGTGCCATAATATCCTCGCCTGCTGGATCATATATACAGTACATGCAAAGCACACCAACACTGTACAATACCGTACATTGATGTCGTCGTCTATAATCTGTGTACAACGTCGTATGCTGTACAATATTTTATAATTTAAATATGTAATTGGCTTTATTGTGCCGAAAGCGACAGTTATGCGTATTTATATACAGTACCTGGACTATTGATTTAGTTTAATTTTGGTATATGAATGGAATCATCATCACGCATAATTAATCATAGTACGATTCTGTTTTGAATAAATCACAATAACATCGATTTAAAAAAATCGAATCTGCCAGAGGAAACATACGAGGGAATTTCTCGGTAGAAAATCCGAAAGCAGAGGGAACTGAACAGTTGAATTCACAACAAACTTGTGAACATAAAGGAGTCAAAAACTCTCCGATTTGAATAATAACAAGACGCAGCATGTGAACAATACACTGAAATGCAGCAGTCGGGGAGGACGAGTGCTGTAAAGTACATTCAAGGAAGAGCATCAAACTCAGCAATGATAAAAGGAGAGAGAAGAATTGCCCCGATGAAAGAAAAAAATAAATCCGCTTTTGCTGCTGGTCTGTTCATCATCAGGTACATACAGTACTGTATATACAGTGTAGGTGATTATTAGTGGAAATTCTCCTTATATAGTACGCTATTTGCTGGTCACGTGACCAAATTAATTATTGCTCTCCAAGTTTGTCCTGATATATTTGCTGATATATGTACTATACTCTGCGTCTTTGAGGACAAAAATAAATACTGCAAGTGCATATTACATATTTGTTGCCTAAATACAGTACACACATGCTGGGTATAAAGTAGCGTTTCCCCCTTTTTTTTCAATCAATACAATCGCCTATATATAGAGCAGCTGCAGCAGTCCATGATACTATATACTGCACTGGGATATTAGAGCTAATTTATTTATGCATGTTGTGAATAATGATGCATTATACATTTGATATGATCATAAAAAAAAGGGGGATTTCCGGCACTGCGGGCATCACCCTGACGTCCTTATCCAACTCCAGCACGTCTCTCGCCTGGCTCATGAACGCGGAAAACTACCCGCCCGCCTTTGCCCCGAGGAGGATCGTGCGGAAGGTCGCGGTCAGTTCCGCAGTCAAGGCGTATCGAGACCTGAGGGCACACCTCACTCATCCTTACTCCTCGCATCATCCTGGACTCTGATAATGGGTGCTGGCCGTGATATGGAGCCACATCTCACCCGTGCACGACGAGTTTTTTTTTTTTTTTTTTTTTCTGTTTCTCGCATATTCTTTTATTTCAATGAATAAATAAATAGATAAACAGGAAACGACTATATAGCAGCAGCATACCAGCAGGTTATTCATCCCTTTTCAACATTCGTCGATATAGATGCATGATGAGTGTATCTGTAATGCTATAGTTATTTATGCTGCATAGCTTGCTGTCATATATACAGTATGTATAGCTGTTGTTGAATGATATTTTCCTTGCCATTATTTATACATTTTGGTAGGTAGGAGAGGAATATATAATAATAATAATAATAATAATAAAGACGTGGGAATAATTAAAAGTGTCTTTTGTCTTGTTTTTTCAAGCAAGCTGGAATCGAGCATCAATACAATAAGGAAGAATTACCTGCATCAGCATATATATATATATATATATCAATAATACTCGATACTTGAATATACCATCCATGGACTTATTATTATTATTAAATTCCTTTATAATGTTTACCAATTCCAGGGTTATATACAGTGACTTGTTATATGATGAAGTTCTGCAGCAGTGCTGCTGCTGCTGATCATCGTGGTTCCACAGCAGAGGCATTCAGGGTATTTTGCATATAGGATATATTGTGTATATATATATATAAGGGGCGGGAAGGGGTCCGTTTTATGTCCTTGTGAAAATTGCTTCCGCCGTTGTTTGCATCTCATTATTCCTTGCTGCGGTCGTCGTTGCTGTTTCTGCTGCTGCGGGATGAATACAGTAATATGCTTGGAATAAACCAGTGCTAGCTGAGTAAATTTGCTTTTCTTTTTCACGCATTACATTATGCCGCCTAGCTGTTGCTTTCATCAACAGCTATCGTCCGCGCGATCATCCTCGATGAGAAAGTGGAAATTGTAGAAATAAAACTGACGGAAATACTGATGCCTCACAATGTCGATTCCATCCAGACATTATACGTGAAACACTTGAGGAGCAACTATGGATCGAAGCGAAACTCCGTCCGCTATAATAATAAAAACAATACACAATCCTCGTCATCGTCAAGCCGGGGTGTCCTGAGTGATGGGCAATCAGCAATCATAACTTAATTAATCCGCGCGACTGACAAATATATACACACCCGCCGACACGTACACATCAGAAAGTCGGGCAATCTCTGCTGATGGCACATTGATGCATCAATAACAGCGCATCATTATTGTTGGACTGACTTGTGTATCACCAGCAGCAAAAGCATATGGTCTCGTATATATGCTGCTGCGTGTCGTCCAGCAGCAGAGCAGCAGCAGCAGCAGCAGCACAAGAATCGCCAAAAGTGCAACATTATATTTGTTAAACGGCATTGCCTCTGGAACTGGCAGCTTGCTTCATCAAATCCGACGCCTTCTCGGCAATCATGACGACCGGTGCGTTCGTGTTGCCCGACACGATCTTGGGCATGATGCTGGCGTCCACTACACGCAGTCCCTTCACTCCGTACACCCTGTATTATACGTTGAAAATATCGCTCAAATGATGCTGTATATATATATACTGTACAGAATCACATAGTACATAGCAGCACACTACTTTATATAGCTGACCTGAGCTCGGGGTCCACCACTGCCGTCGGGTCCGTGCGTGGCCCCATCTTGGCCGTGCCCACCGGGTGGTAGATGGTCTGTGTGGCCTGGCGCAGGAAGCACTCGATGTAGTTGTCGGAGAAGAGGACGTGGGCCTCACAACCCGGGAACGGCTTCTCGTAAGGCCTGGACCCCACGCGTTGGAACGCCGTCGTGTTGGACATTTTCAGCATGAGTCGAAAGGCTGATGATGATGATGAAATAGTGATAAACAATACTCTGCATATATTATATATATTTATATATATATATATCACAGCTTACCGTCAATCAACCTGTCCACGTCCTTGCGACTCTGCAAGTAATTGGGGTGGATGACGGGGTCGTCGCGAAAGTCCCTGGAGCGCAGGGCCACGTGGCCCACGCTCTCGGGCCTCAGCAGCACGGCGAACACGGACCAGAGCTCCTTGTCCATCAGCGGCTTGAAGTAGGTCTCCCACACGGGGTCCGTGTAGCCCATGGCCTTGCGGATGGCCCGGCCCTGGTCCGCCGTGATCCCGCTGGGGATGAAGTGGAACTGCAGGTCTGGGTGGTCCTCGGCGGGGTCCTGGTACTTGGAGTTGAGGAAGGCGAGGGCCTCGACGCCGCAGCTGGTGAAGGGTCCTGCAAATGATGATGATGATGCACGAAAATTGATAATAATGATGATTAATATCATATGTACAGTACTCTTCTGCTTTTTACCTCTCCCCGTGCTCATGAACTTCATAAACTCGGATTGACTCTCTTGGTAGTGGAAGCCTCTGCCGTTGGGCGCGAGGAACTGCATGGCAATCATGCCCACGTGGTCTTGCAGGTTCTTGCCGACGGGGGCGTCTTTCACCACGGGGATCTGCAACCAGATATGAAGTAGAATTGGCACATACGGTATATAAATATATATATATATATGGATTGCCTTGAGTTTGCGCAACTCCTCTTGAGGCCCGATGCCCGACCGCATGAGGATGGCCGGAGAAGCCACTGCGCCGGCCGACAGGACGACCTCCTTGGTCGCCCGCACTTCCCGCATCTCGCCGTTCTTCTCAAACACGACGCCGACGGCCCTGTTTTGCTGGTCAAACACCACCTATACAGAATATATATAGGCATCAAGGTATGCACAAGTATGGCTCGTATATATATATATATATATATATATATATATACACAATCATGAGTATGTGGTATTATTGATGGACAACATTCAGAAATATCAGAATAAAGATAAGCAGCTGCGTCTGCATAAATCAATCAATCAATCAATCAACCAATCATCACCTTGTCCACCATGGAATTGAGAGACACGTGCAGATTCGGCCTCTTGCTCGCGGGCCTCAAGAAGGCTTTGGCCATGTTGAGCCTCCGTCCATTGCGGATGTTGGACTGGACCAGCATGAATCCTATAATAATAATAATAATACAAAAATTATTGTATTCATTCGTGCAGATGATGAGGACTTTATCTTCTCTTTTTTTCTTTTTTTCTCGCTGCCATGCAGATGAGTGTTTATACGACTAAATAACTATTTTTGATCATTGGCAATACAATATTAAGCATGCATATCAGCAGTCAACTCGTACATACGAGTACATACCCGTCTGGTTCTGGCCATTGATGTCCCGGATCTTGTAGCCCATTTCAGCAGCCGATGCCATGAAGGAGAGAGTTAGGGGGGATTTGTGCGCCGGGTCCGAAACCGTGAGGTATCCTCCCTGTGCGTGGTACTTGGCTGTAATATATATACATATGTACGATGTGGATGATTGTGACGGTGAATGAATGCATGCATATTCATGACAGTTACGCATTTCACTGCTGATGAATGAATTATGCTGAAAGAAGAGTAGATTTGAACTCACTGTCTGCTGCCTTGTACTTGTTGCGGTTGTCCTCGGACTTGAGAAAGTAGGGAAGCACGGACTCGTAGTCCCAGCCAGTGTTGCCCAGAGCAGCCCAGTGGTCGTAGTCCTTGCGGTTGCCGCGCACGTAGATCATGTAGTTGAGGACAGAGGATCCTCCCAGCACCTTGCCTCTGGGCCACTTGCAGCGCTTCAAGCAAAATTATCAATCAATCAATCATTGACGAGAGAGAATCATGCTGTGCTCTGTGGGTTGGGTTGATGACTCTTTCATTTCGCCATCAATTTACGATGAGGTGCGGAAGCGTATACTGCATTGCATGTACCTTGTCTACCATGTTCTGACAGACGCCGTCTTCCGGCTCTGTCCGGAACTGCCAGTCGATCTTGCTCCTCTGCAGGAACTGGACCATGATGGGCAGCTCGGAAAGGGGCTCGTCGATGTCGTTGACGCCGGCCTCGAGCAGCAGCACGTTCACGTTGGGATCCTCCGACAGCCGGGAGGCCACGACGGATCCTCCGGACCCACCTCCAACTGATGCGCAATACGCATATAATCATTATTCGATAATCGTCATCATTGCTTTGAATCAATCATTATTATTATTATTATTATTTTCATCGTTACAATACAGCATTTTCATCATTGGCGATATAGGAGGGATTATATAAATCCAGCGTGTCGATCTTCATCTTTGCATCATGTATTAAATCACGAACTGCTGATGGTCGGAGTAATCGTCGGAATGCATCGTCTTATTGGATGATGGTCCATAATAATAATAATAAGAGAAGGGAAACAAATGCGAAATATTGCGAGGCGATGATGGACAATAAACGCAAATACTGCATATCACGAATATTAAAGTAAGACATTATTATGAACAACGCATGAAAAAAAAAATCAATCCATGCATATGCTGACGATGATTTGCGCAGTGCAAATACAGTACTGCGGAAAATCAAAATTCTTTCTCATGAGCAATTAAGGTCTAATTTTATTAATTTCCACCGATTCGTCCAGGCCCAAAAGTATAATCTTTGTTGGAAAAATAATGTGTATACAGTATTTGAACAGGTCATCAGTATGCAATACAATCCTTCAAAACTCAAGTAAATCAGTACTGTACTGCATTAATCTTGGCGTTGTTGAAGCCAAAGCAATTGTTTTATACAAATTAAGGAAACATCTCCAGCAAAAATGTGAACGAAAATTTCGAAGCACATCATAAGACGGAACTTATATACAGCATTCTGATGATATGCACTGCCAAAAATAACATGCAGTCTTTACATGTTTTTATATGGGGAAGCATTCAATTTTGCTCTGACTGCTGAAAAATCAAAATGAAATTGCTAAAATAGCGTATTTATTGCCTGATTTCTCCTTGCTCGTCAGCAGTAGAGTGCCTTTTCTAATTTTTATTTTTCTTCTTCTTTTCCCTACTTTAGTTCAAAGTACAGTTCAGTATACGGTACTGTATTCATGGAATGTTCAGCATATATTTAGCATGTATACAGCAGAGGAAGGAAAAGCTCGGATGACTGAAAGAGAGGGGAAGCATTCAGAGAAATAGAGAGTGAGAGAGAGATATGAATGAAGGTCTTTTTATTCCCAGCTAGCGCACATGCAAATGATGCTTCGTCGTGGATGATGAGACTGTCGAAATAAGCAAGAAGTAAGAAAGCAACCACCATCAGCAGCAGAAGCTGGCTTATGAGACTCTTCATATTATTCGTACATGACGATGGGTTCAAGGCTGACCGATAATAAGTCGAACGGTATACATTATACTGAATGCGGAAACGACTCTTTGCTGATGCTCTTGCTGGGCCAAGAAATTGTATACATATATTGTATATGCTGGGTACAAATAAGAGCGAAAAGGGCTGCTCTGACGTGCTGTGTTTCAAAATTGTGGACCGGTTATCTGACGCATGCCTCGTGAATAATGAAATATTCCCGACGAATCGATGAAACCGCGACCAAATCATGATGCACGTCAGGTAACCATCGCTCAGCAGCAGCAGCAGCAGGAAGAGCAATGACACACGCTCATGCTTACGTATATATGCAACGGTATAAAGCCCTTTCCTTGACATTGAATTTTGAGCAGGGTGGGTGACTATTATATATATGTATATGGAGAAACGTTTACTGTCGATCGAGAAACTCTCTTGTACAGCAGCAGTATACAGTATATGAAGGAAGGGCGATGCAGCAAGGGCTATATGGCCTCATTATCATTGGAGTATGCATTAGTACATGCATTGCTATACGCTGAATATATATATATACTGATGTACAGTACCGTTCAATTACAGCACTGTATTTGGATCCACGTCGGGCGCATATATACGCGTTCAGCAAGCGATTTATTGAAAAAGAAGAGAGATGAAACGGAAAGTAAGCATTTCTACGTTATGTTATTGTCAAGTTCATTATTCTTTATTTGTTTCTTTTGTCTTCTTGCTGCTGTTGTTTGCAATTGCTGAAAACTCGCTCGTATATCGTATCATATCATGATGAGGATTAATTTTGAGTGGATAATAACGTGATTATGAAGCTGGCTCACCGACAACGTAATCGTAGGTGGGCAGAGGCGAAACCATGTCTGTGACGGGTGACCCTGCAGCGTTGTCCAGTGCGCTTCTGCCGGCTCTCTGCTGGGTCAGCAAGGTCACCATGAGCGGGTACAAGGACCGCATGGATGCCGACTGAGCCGGCGAAACTCCGGCCAGCCAATTTTCCACCGGAGACACCATATCTCTTCTCCCTCTCTATCTCTCTCTCTCTCTCTCTCTCTCTCTCTCTCTC